TGATAAATCCCCCATGTGGGTAAGTAACATGCTTGTTCATGTTCATGGTCATTTGTATTCGGAAACGCCTCCAATGAACCATATATGGTGACAACACCTCCCTTAATAAATCACGTGAATGTATGTGTCCTCACCGAAATCATGGCAAAGAAAGTGGTACCGACTGAAAACCCATTCTGTGCTCTCTCTCAGCGTGGTCTTTGAAAATGTGTTCTCTGCAGAGTGGATTGTTTGCCAAGTCTTATAATAACACAAGATAAGCCATTGCACTGAGACAAACATTTGTCACAGCTGTTTATAGGGTTTGACACCAATTAGGCAACTTGTCTGTTTAAAACTAGACAAATGATAAATTGAGTGTTTTATAGGGCTGGGTATCGAGTTCGATACTTTTTAGGCACCGACCGAATTGCCTCGATACCATCGAGTATCGAAAAACATCTCGTCGTTTGGCACCAAATTTCGATACCTAAGGGGTTAATCTCATCAACATCCGTGGGCCAATAAGCCTGCAGCACTAGGTGTGTTCAACTAGAAGCGGCGCGGCACAGATCGATATGTGTTTGACATCGCGAGAGCGATTCGAAAGCGTACGGAGCAGTCTGCTCTCTAGCTCTCATGGTACTGTAATACACCGATCGGTCTACACAGTCAGTCCGCGTCAAGTCGAACACACCTAGTTTACACCAGTTACACCAGACACGGGTGGGAAGCATGCAATCTATGATCGCGTGCCATTGAAGACGCTCGCGAAAGCATGCAATCGATTTCTTATGCGCGCTCTTTTTACGGTTTCACTTTCGAAATCGATTGTGTTCAGCAAGGAGGGGAGAGGATGGAAGGGGGGGGGGGGCTGTAGTGTGAGGCTGTAGTGTGAAAGCGTCCCAGCCCCCTTAAATATAAGGCTACATTTACATTGGTGCATTTTTGTTTTAAAATGAAAACGATCCTCGTCATACTGGCATTTACACTGCGTTTCAAGCCGGCTTTCCACTATATCAGACAAACGACAGACCGGAAGTGATTCATTTCCAGTGGAGAGTAGTGTGCGAGCTGCGTGGAGTTCCAATCATATGCAGATGTCCGTTCATACTACATGACCAAAAGCGCTTGTTACGTGACCATTCATGCACACTGTAGCATCATGCGACATAAGATTTATATTCCGCTTTTACTCAAAACTCACTTTAAACCACCATTGAGTGTTTTTAATAACTTCCGATTGCTGTTCAATGTGTGTTTTGGCCATGTAATGTTGCTGAAATTAAATATGTTATTACCTCGGAGTCAGAACAGTGATTGTGGAAGAGAGAACACAGGTAGACAGCACTAGAAGCTGCTAATGCTCATCAGTTAATCAGTGGAAAATTAATAGAAATTATGATTCTGTCTGAGATATGCGTTTTAAAACGATGCACTCGTGTAAATGTAGCCTAACAGATGTGTAAACTGAAGACTATTTGAGTTTTATTAAAACTATTTGAACTTATTTTTTATTTTATTGTGTTGGTTACATTTTGTTCCTTTGTGCAGTGGCTCAGGAGATAAGTCTTTGAGTCTGAATAAACATCAACAAGCTGAAAAATGAAACCCAAGTTTTTTTTTTTTTAGATAATGTAATCTTGTTAAAACTGATTTCATAAAATTGGTATCTGAAAAAGTATCGTTCAGGAACCGGTATCGAAGTCAAGGTATCGTATCGGTATCGAAAATTTTTGAACGATACCCAGCCCTAGTGTTTTATAATTAAAGGAAACAACAGGACATGTGTGGATTGCTTAATGCATACTGTGACACTCTTAAATGCTTTTTATGTGTAGTGTCGCTATTCTACCCCTAGATTCTCTGCGTAAGCATGTGTAATGCGTAAGCATTTCCACGTATAAATACAAGTTTGTAGATTCCACACTTTGCGTGAAACTGTTCTCACGCACTCATTACGCACACAACTGTTGATAAATGAGGCCCCAGGAGAATATCCACAAGTCCATAAACAAAGAGTATTAAAAGCTCAGCAACGTAAATTCAAATAATAGCAGATGATGAACTGAGGGAAACAGAAGACTTAAATACAGGGGAGAAAGAGAAGGGAGAAACAGAACAGGTGTGGGGCTAATTAACAACCAGTGAGACTAATGAATAACTAAGGAAACAGATTAACCAGGGAACTAATGCAGGGGAACAGAAAGAGAAACGCCCCAGAGAAAACCAAAATACAAAAGAACAGAAACATGACAGTTATTTGACTCATCTGTGTTTTTAATTTTAAATACATAAGGTTCTGAATCATCTATTTAAAGTTTAATGTTTGTAGTGATCATAATTCTGATACCTAGTCGTGTAGCTTCCTTTAAAATATAGTTCCCATAGTAACATTCAAAGACGTTTTATTCAGTTAGTAGCTTTAAGTAGAATTTCACACAACAAACTTGTAGCAGCCATTCATCTTTTGATCCTCTGTAGAAAGCATTGTCTGTAAGATTTTATGGTTAATTTGATTACAATTTGCTGAATTTATTGTTTATTAAGCTGTGAAAGAACTATATACTACAAATGAAACTAAGGCCACGTACACACTGCAGCTAAATTCGGTTGTCAGTTCACCTTTTACTCCTTAATAGCGTTCTGTACACACATAATTCACTAAAATACGGGAGTGACAACCGTATTAACTCCCGAAAGATACAGGTAGTGACAACCGCATTTACAGCAATTCTATGCAGTGTGTACAGAACCAGACAACTAGTATGATGATGTCACGAGAAGCAATGTGCGTGCATTGTCAGACGTTAAGTGTTTACCACAGATCTGACAGGATGGCGGAGAGAGGTGTATTGTGGACCGAGCAGTTGCGGTCAAGATAGTGTAGGCTGTTCAATAACAACAGTTTAAAGAACAAAACTAGATTACGAGCAAATCCCGACGACTGCGATTTAATAACGTTTTGCATGGATTTTTGCAGTCTAATGTTTGTTTTGTCAACAGCAGCTAACTAACACAAAACTAGCTAACCTGTGGGCCTCCATTCTCTCTGAGACGCCACAACGTTGCTATGGATACCACGCTGCCATACATGGCAGTTTCGGGAGTGGGTCGTGTTCTGTACACACATGAAACGATACTTTACGGGACTCACTCCCGCATTTAAATGCGGTTGTCACAGCTGAAATTTGCAGTGCGTACATGGACTAAATTGAGATACTGTCGTGTTCTTACTATACTACTTTCTGTAGTTTTAACAAACTCAACGTGGTGTGGAATAAAGCAGGAATTGTCCCATAAGTCTACGTGTTGGAATAAATCTGTCTAACTTCGGGAAGACAGACACCAAAGTGAGGGCAGAATACATAAAGAAGGGTTTTCACCAACATGAATACTGAAAACTTGTTTAAAGGCTCATGAAACCCCGTTTCAGCACTGGTTAGTTCTCTACACAGTTTTTAAAAAACGCTAAAAAAGTGGGCGTGGTGCGCTGCGAGTGGAGGGGGAAGAGGGGAGACAGACAACACACACCGCTTCGGGTCAAACCTGTCAACCCTCCCGTTTTTCCCGAATTTTACCATTCTATCCCGCTATGATCCCGTTTAAATATTTTCCCGTATTTTTTATCTTTTTATTAAAAAAAATCCCACTGGGCGTATTTTATGTTTGCTACATTAGCTTCCAGTAAAACGCCTGTAATTTGTAATGGGCCAAACCTCATTATATGAATAATCACAACAACAAATTCCAAGGTTGTCCAGTTGCCAGATCTTGTATGAACGTGTTCTTTCTCACACGATCGACGCATATAAATTTCAACCCATTTGTCCCCTCAACTTGGCAACATACACCCCGGTGATGCTATTGATATGTGCGCAGGGAGTACCGCGGAAGGAAACAATGATCACTGGTAGAAATGGGAGGAGAAGACTCAGGTGGTGCACCAGTGAAAAAAACTAAATATACATGTAAATATATATATAATGAGATATAGCTTACACTTCAAAAGGCTATGGTTTAATTGATTAAATATGAGGGCTTTAAGTTTCAAAGTCAGGTGCTGCATTGCTTTTTTTATTACTGCGGTTACAGGGGAAATGGCTATATTCCTGGCGAAAAGCACCACCTGCTGGCAGAGAATTAATTTGTATTTTTCAATAAGCCCTTCTGCTCTTTGTTTAGACCAAAGCCAAAAACTAAACTTATTTTTACGCAGAAAACATGCAGTTGTAAATGTGAACTGGTGGATCGACAAGAAGATAATGAATTCGACGTGTCATCGATGTTCTATAGTCCTTTGCCACGTATTGTGACGTTAACACGATGAAGATTTTAAAGGTGTCATATGATGCTTTTTTAAAGATCATTATTTGGTGTAAATGGCTGCTTCAACACTAACTGCTGTTCCTGAAACCACGCCTTCTTTCTTTGCGTGCACATTTGGGCTGCATTATGCAAATATTTCCACATAGTGAGGTAGATATGTGGGGGCGTGTTAGAACGAGCTGTTTTAGGGGGGGCGTGGCAGAGTCTTAACTTTGATAAAGAATATCTCTTTGGTTTTGAGACTTTAGTCTTTGCAACTTCAGGGATCTTATCTATGCACAATCAGCTTGTAACACTCCAAAGAGAAAGGAAAACTTGAAATCGCATCATATGACCCCTTTAAACCCAGAAGATGAAAAAAAGCTTAAAATTAATCTGTTTTCTCAAACAGTAAAAATTATCGGATGCTAACATTGTCTTCTATGATGTACAACACAAACACCTCTGCTAAAATCTCAGAAAAAGTAATCTGGGGTTTCATGACCTTTTAACACTAAATCTCTAAAGGTTTCTAAAGGATATTTGTTACTGACACTTGAACCCGATAATACATCTACTAATCCATCCATTCTGAACTGGAGTATTAAGTAGAACGTTCAAATTTCCTCTAAATATTAATGCAATGCTATATTTGTAATATTCTGTAACTAAAATTGTCTATTTAAATAATTATATTATTCTTTAGCACATACCGTCCAGTTCTGCCGTAGTCAAGCCTATATGGCCCAAACTGGGAAAGATGCAAGTTGAAGTACTGTAGGGAGAGGGAAAGAAGAAAAAAAAACAGTGGAACATACAAAATAAAATGAATCACACATAGACTCCTTCATAAAAACTTGTAGTTGGTAAGGTCTGTAAACAAATCAAATATTTTACACTACATTTAAATTTTTGTTTTTTTACAAATATACATATCTCTAGACTCCTGCAGTACTGCTCGGTAATCCATATTAAATATGGTCCAAAAACAGAAGAGTAGTTCCCTGGACAGCACATAATAAAACACATTTTCCACTGATAAATCTAAGGAGGGCAGACTGTTCATGTAAGCCTTTACCTGTGCTTTTCAATTAATTAATTAAGATGGTGATCAAATAATAACCTTGATGATTGAGTTCTTATTTACTGTACACAAAATCTATGTGGCAAGGCACATCACCAAGGTTCATGGTTTCAGCTAAAAATCCTATTTACGGTTATACTGAAGGAAAAAGTCAAGTAAATCAACATCAATAACATCAAAAATTTAATTTTTTTCATTTCATACATGTATTTACATTCTCTGACCCCAAACTTTTGAACGGTAGTTAATAGTTACAAAAGATTTCTATTTTATATAAATGCTGTTCTTTAAACTTTTTGTTCATCAATGAATCCTGAAAAACGTATCACAGGTTCTGAAAAAAATATTAAGCAGCACAACTGTTTCCAACATTGATAATAAATCAGCATATTAGAATGATTTCTGAAGGATTCTGAAAATTCAGCTTTGATCACAGGAATAAATAATACTTTAAAGTATATTCAAATAGAAAACTCTTAAAAAAGAAAACTGTTAATTGCAATAATATTTCGCACTGTTCCTGTTTTTTTTCTGTATTTTTGATCAAATAAATGCAGCCTTGATGAGCAGAAGAGACTTTTGTGTGTGTGTGTGTGTGTGTGTGTGTGTGTGTGTGTGTGTGTATATATATATATATATATTTTTTTTAACTAAAATTAAAATAAAACTGAAAATATAAAAGAAATGAAATGAAAAGACTGATGAACTGCACGTAATTCCTCTTCCTCTACTGGATCCTTCACAGAAACGTGTGATCTGAAACAACTTTTATAACCTTTTGTCCTTGAAGCCCCCTAGATCTATTACATACAACTCACAGATGTAATTAAACTTTAATCAAAGTTTTTCTCAATTATTATTTTTTCAATGTCATGTTATTGTTTTACTTAATTTCTAATAAATTAATTTCTAATATCTAGGCTAAATATTTTACATTGAACTATTTTATTCATATTAAAATACATTATAGGATATTGGTGATAATGATAACCGGCTGGGTGTCCATGTTGAACAAGCTTCTTGTGTGTAAAGCCTGATGTGTGCCGGTAACCCTACATGATATAAGGCTATTTTCTATGTATCAAAACATCAATATGGTTGTCAAGAAAGCTTCATTCATAATGCTTCCCTCATTTCAAACCTGCCATGTGCATTCTCTAAACTGTCCTGGTGCTGCACTGCTATCGCAGCTGACTGCTGCCTTCTGTTTACGATTCATACGTGAAAAAAAAATTCTAACATTAGTTAACATGAACTAACAATAAAAAATACTTCATTCTAAAGCATTTATTAATCTCAGTTAATATTAATTTCAACCTTTACAAACGCATTATTAAAACCCAAAGTTATATCGGTTTATATTAATTATATCATATTAATTAATGTTCATAAACTAACAATGAACAGTTGTAAATCAGGGCCCGTATTCACAAAACATCTTAAGGCTAAAAGTAGCTCATAACTCGCCGATTTAGGAGAAAACCTTAAAAATAATGGGCGTGTCAATCCTAAATTTTTGCTCTAAGAGTATTTCACAAAGCGATTTAGCACTAAAACTAGCTCCTAAATCTGTGAAAGGTTAGGCGTAATGAAGAGGACTCCTAAGTCACTAAGATCAAACCACAAACTATCCTAAAATGGCTGTTGCCGGCAATCTGCCTCTGAATGTAAACATTTTAGAAAATTTTTTAGGTATCGCCTATCGTTTTGGAGGTTATCCCAACTCCAAATTGTCCTTTGATTATATCCTTGTTTTCATTAACCAGTTGGGCAAGAAGTAACAGCTGTTCTTGCGTCCGTTTTTTTTTTGTTTTTACGTTTGCATGTATTACTATTAGCCATGATTATTCTACTCTGTTAATTAAAAGGCTGTTTATATGCATATTCACTAATTGTTTACGAAACATACATGTAAGAGGCTGACAATTAGCTGAACATATACTTGTTTAATTAGTGACACTTATCCTGCATTTTAAAATCTTTATTTGAATGTGGCAAAATTTGTATTTTTATACCTTTATATATGGCAACATCGTGCTCTACAATATTTCTATGAATAAATCTCTGACAGAGACTATCAGCCAATCACTGTGAGCATAGTTAGTAATCATGCTGACATCATCGATAGCAACGAGGTCAACCCCGCCCCTTTACTCTTAGCTAAAGGGTAGGGATGGGTGATACCTCTTATTTTATTTTTGATCCAATACCGATATTTTCAAGCCCAGTATTGTCGATATCGATACTGATACCTATAAACTAAACTGATCTTTTCAATTATTAAAAGAATATAATCAGTAATTATACTCATTTAATATTAGATTTTAAAGCCAATTTAACATTCCATAGGCCTTTTTTGTTTACACTGTCAGAAATAAAATATACTATAATTGTATTTTAGCCCTTTACTGGGGCAGTAACCTCAAAGGTGCAACTATATCCCTAAAAGGGAGCATATTAGTGCCATACAAGTACGCATGCTTTAAGGGTAGATAAGTTACAAAGATGCACCTTTGATGATACCTCATGAGAAATAAACATGGTGTTACATAAGTACTAAAATGTATTATTATTACCATTGTAAATTTGTGGTTACTGCAGTTTTAGTACAAATACTATGGTAAACTGTGGTTACTGTAATAGAGCCATGGTTAATTTTTGTAAAAGGCTGCCAGGCTGTTGTACCCCTAAAGGTGAAACTTTAGCATATTTTTTTCTGACAGATTTATTAACAGCAATTACAAAACATAACACAATCCATTTGAACTTTTAACAACAAGTTTAAATAAATGTACTTGCACAAACTAGCCAATTTAAAATAAATGTTACATGTACACAAAAGTTTGGGGTCAGCAAGATTTCGTAATATTTTTTAAGTCTCATGCTCACCAAGGCTGCACTTATTTGAAGAAAAAAACACAAAAAAAAACAAAAGCAGCAATATTGTGAAATCTAACCATTAAAAAGATTTTTTTTTCTATTTTAATATATTTTAAAATGTAATTTAAAATGCATCTGTGATCAAAGCTGAATTTTCCTTCAGTGTCACATGATCCTTCAGAAATTATTCTAATATCATTTGCTGCTCAAGAAATATTTATTATTGCTGCTTCATATTTGTGTGGAAACCGTGATGAATTTTTCAGAATTAATTTTATATATAGTAACAATGTTATGTAGGCTAATGTAATAATGTGGCAATGGTTTCTTAAGATCTACTTATGTTTGTGATGCTTTTGGGAAATGCAGCCCTATTTGAACAAGCACTGTGAGCCATGCGTCAGCAGCGAATGCTGTCTGTGATTGATTGGTTCTATCTTTCAGCATTTGCGTGTATTCCGATGAGCAGGAGAAATGGTTCTATCCAACACAATTATTAATAATATTTCCACTTAGAAGCTTATTTTATGCACCAAATTTCTTGATAAATACAATTAATGGTTACAAAATGCACTTTAGAATCGATATTTTTATGTGATGATCGAAAGTATCGATACTTACAGATCAATCCGCCCATCCCTACTAAACATCTCTCTATTCCTTAGTAAAAGTTTGTCTCAGCAGCTTTGTGAATAGGTTTTAAGTAGGGATGCACCGATACCGATACTGGTATCGGTCCCGATACTGAACTCCTGTACTCGTACTCGTTAAAATGCCCCGATACCAAGCGCCGATACCACACAGCATGTGATAAGTGCCATAGACAATGAAACACCGAAAACAGAACAACAGACAGCAGAATGGAGTTTTTAGAGATTAAGGATGTCTACGAAGTATATGTCTGCAATGAATATAATGTTAAACAATTCAGTATCAACGCCTGTATAGCTGATGTGCGCGAGTTGATAAGCAAAGCGCGCTGAGTGGATTGAGCGCACGGCGGCGCAGATGCGTGAGCTTGTCGAGTGAATATACCTTTCTCACAGACATCACTGGAAAATTCGTAGTTCGGTCGGATACGTCAAAAACAAGTAAAACAATGCACAAGTTACTTAACGGTAGGGAGAGAGAGAGAGAGAGAGAGAGAGCGTACTAACTTCTGTTGTGTGATCTTTGATGTTCACTCACTTAGCACACGCATCATTTGGATAAAAACTAAATCGTTTAAATAAGACCATTTATAGTGGCATTCACTATAAATATCATTTATTTTTAACCTTAGGCATACACGACTTTCTGGCGAAAGTGAATCTAGCAGCTTGTGTGAAATGCGCTAGGCTGTACTATTCTGCACCAGTACAAATACGTGCACGCGTTGCGCGTTTTGCTTGCTTGAGTGTTTTTGCATTATATGAGTGGCTTTGGAATATAAATCGCAGCATGTTTCGACTTCTATTTCTGAAAATATCACAGTTAGGAGATGTATAACTGCATTATTACAGCAAAGCGCGTGATTACAGTACTAAGCCGCTGCAATGGAGCAGCTCTAATGCTATAAAATTAAAGATGATGTACCATAGAGCAAAAAATTAACAGTGAAAGTAACAAAAACTTCTAAAATACATTTTAATGGGCATAATTAAGTGTGAAAATAACAGAAGGATATACAGTGAAACCAAAAATTATTCAGAGACCAGATATAATTTTTTATATTTTTTACTAGTGGGTACATGACACTATAGTTCATTTATGTAAGTGAGGATAGCAAAATAAAGTAAACCGTGACAAATCATACCGACAAATTTCTTCAT